TAGAGCCAATCACAGTTTCCGGTGAGGCAAAATTACGAATTCCTTCCACTCGCATTTTCAAACAGAATGAAAGGTACTTCAACATCAATTTATTAGGGGATTCTTTTAAACCTACTTTTTCCGCATATGTATGTAATTTAATTTACTTCATTTGTATATACATTTAAAATATTTCTAAAAAAATTCGATTTTAGGATCTCTCACTCAATACTTCTGATGCGACTGCTTCAGAAGCAGACCTTACGCCACATCTCTTGCGTGGGTGTCTTTCGCCATTCGACTTCGGCCTGGGGTCTACTAATCCAATATTCATCAGCACCAACATGACTTGCTCTTCTCTTCCTACCTCTAGGTTCGCATCCAACAATTTAACTTTTACCCCAGCTCTCAGTGTGCCAGATACAGTCCCTTTATCTACTTGCAGCCAGCTCATTGCTGAGGGCAGACCCGATAAGAGCAATGCCGTAATGTTCAACTATCAAGTGGAAGATGATGCAAATAATTCCGAAAATGAGATGCATGTCCAGCATGAAGCTAAAAACTGCCGCTTTCCTATTATTTCTTCTCTACCCTCTGCTACTGATGCTGTCATAGATACCTATGAACCTTATTGCCCCAGGATCTCCAATGGTGTTGAGGCTATTTCGGATAGTAGAAGTTTAGAGGCAAAATCTCCAGGTTATGGCACTTTTGCTTTGAAAGCTCAATCGAATAGAATGCTGTCTTTGCAGGTTAACATGGCCGATCTTGGCCAGAGACGGAAGCCTCACAAGGCCTTAGCAAGGGCTCAATCACGCCCTCATTCCCCTGTTGACTTGGAACTTTTTGGTAAGTCCGTCAACTATTAACCATTTCGCTAGTTAAAAGATTTTACTGGAGATTTTACGAGTGCAATTGAAGGTTAGATAGACTTAGACTAAGAAAGAATTGGGTAGGGATAGATTGAGATATTATAGCATTATACTATTGAAGTTCCATGTCATTGGGTCTTTTGATTTGTGTTAAAAATTGGATTGGATGAAT